TGCTTCTGCTTTTCTTGGTCTGTCATTTTATACAACATCTATTGGTTTCTTCTTGTACTTATTGAAGATTTAGCAATTTTATGCCAAAGTTCCCTCCCCGTTGTTTTTATTGTCCTGGAGTATATAGTATTCCAGTAAATTGATGACTGTATTTTACTTCATTCCCCTCCCTATTTCATGGCTATCAATGTTATTAACAGTTGTTTCACTATTCCACATTACATTACAGTGACCAATTTGTGCATACATTTTCCTCTCTATTGAATAATTTCTTGATGATAGAATTCCAGAAATGGATTTCAGAAATGGTCAAACATTGTGAATATTTTTATGATTTTTCATTCATATTGGTACAGTATTTTCAAAAGAGTGTCTTGACATTGCCACCAGAAGCATACAGGTGTCTCAGTTAAATTACAGCTGCATCATCATTGGGTAGCTATTACAAGTGGAAAAGCAAAATACCTCGTCATCCTAAACAAACTAAAATGAGATAAGAAATAGACAAGAATATAGCCATACTTACTATTCCGAGTAATGGATTCACATTTATTGGATAACATAGCCTTTTGTTTCTTCATTGCATTGACTGTGCCATGTTTCTGCTTGAATAATATCAAGCATCTGGGTGTAATAAGACACGGAACAATTATGGAAAATGGCCCAGAAACATTATCATCAGTGCCGTTACAAGTATAGCATAATAGGGTTATATTTGTGATAGCAGGTCATTTATTTGAAAGTTAAAGTAATGAGAAGTGATAATAATGAGTAATAATTTTATCTTTGGTTAAAAATGATTATTGCTGAAGCAATGGGAGAAATGATTGAAAGAACAGAAAAACCAATCTTAAAGGGAAACTGGAGTCCAGAAATCATGAAATGATATTTAAGTGTTACAAGAAAATATTTGTAGATAAATAAAACTAAAAGGGAAGGACACTTGTAAGGATCATTATTTGATGGGTACTTTTTAAAGAAAGGGAGATAAATGTTCAATAATAGAAAAATCATCCTGATTATGGAAGTGTATCCAGGCCCTCTTTTGGTCCTGGTCTTAAGAAAATGTTATTTATTTATCCATCTATCTTTTTTTCCCCACTTTGTTTATTTAGTTTTTGAACAGGAATTATATATATATATATATATATA